CCCCAAAACCCCAAAACCCCAAAACCCCAAAACCCCATAATATATATAAATTATTGAATTAATTCCCAAAAAATCTATTTCGTTGCGATTCACACAGTCTGCTCAAAATCTGGAAGTTCTGATGATTCTGGTCCGTATCTGAAATAAAATTCATCACGAACTTTTTGCCAGAGATCTTCTTTCTTGACATCTTCAAATTCTTGTTCTTTTGCAAACCTCTCAAAATGAGGCTTAACCATAATGTTAAGGAACTCTTCTTGAGGTTCGATAGCAAAAGGAAGATTAACAGTAAAGATCTTGCACACTTTGAATCCAGCCTCCAACACATTTTCTCTCACCTTCTTCGCATCTCTCAACTTAAATGATGATGCAATTGATGGAGCTAACTCGAATTCATATCCAAGTCCTGCCAAGGCCTCCTGCAGAAACGTGAAGTTCCTGCACCTGGACTCGTCACCCCAGACAGTGAAACCAGCTTTGGCTCCTGACTTCAGCACTCTGCAGGCTTCCAAGAGCTGGTTGCCAGGGTTGTCCACTATCTGTAACGACAGGTTCGACACGTAGCAATCGAACTCTTCATCTGGAAATGGAAGCTCTTCGTTGTTGGCTTTCATGATGACAATCTTCTTCTGGTCGGCTTCAGGCACTACCTCAGTGTAGACATCCTGGTGCTCAACTTCGAAACCGGTGGTAGCCAAGTTCTGCCGGAACACTTCGATCATGTTGTCGCTGATGTCAGTGTTGACATAGAGGGCTCCTTGCTTCATGAAGCTTTGAGAGAACATTTGGGAGCTTCTGCCAGTTCCTACACCAACTTCAAGTATTTTATTGCTAAAGTTGAGAGAGCAGCTTACGATTTATCAGCAAGAGTGTGATGATAGAGGATCATAGAGCCTTGACATGTGCCTACTTCTGCAGTTTCTAAAACATTGCTTTAATTAATAGATTTACTCTTGAAGATTGCAGCCATGTTGTCCCACTCTTTCTCAATGAGCTTGCTAGCTTCTTGGTTTACCTCTTGTCTTTCCATTTAAAGTATTAATAATTAAATTGTAATTAATAATCTTTTTATATTAAAATCAGTGCTCTGTTATAGATATGGGGTTTTGGGGTTTTGGGGTTTTGGGGTTTTGGGG